AGGAGCCCATAACACTTATCAGCAGTATTGAGCTTTCCTTCTTAGGTTGTTGTTTCGGTTTTCTTATTTTTATTTATCCTGTACAGCACCTATGTGGCTTTGGTGATACATGATTAATGGTGCAGTGCTTGCTAATCTAGTATTTTTAATCTTCTTTCTCTCCGGGGAAAAAAAAAAGGCTTACTTGGCTATCTTACTCTGCTTTGTGTGGGTAACAAAGTTTGAGACGTCACAATGGTAGATTACATTTGTAAATGCTGTAAAATGCCCAAGACCCACCCATGATATAATTACAGGCGCTCATGGAGAGTAGAGGTAAGTGAGACAGTGTCGTCCTGTCCCTGTCCCTGGAACGGACTCTCAGACTGAAGGTCACCACAGAGCAGACCCACAGCATGGTTCAGAGAACCTGGTGCCCACTAACCGTGTAATCCGATCACCTCCACACAGAGACTACTTAACAATGTGCTGAGCCCACTCCCTCTCCCGGCACACACGGTAAGTCGTCTGATAGCAGCACGAAGGAAGCCCATCCCTTTCCCACCCAAGGCTTCTGCCCCAGAAATAAACATCTGGCTGGGAGGTAAGAGGGAGGGATGACCACAGATGCAGGCCTTGGCTAGCGATAAGGCTGGGACAAGCGGCTGGGAAAGGAGACAATGCTGTGGGCTCCACTGGCTCAGGCACTGATAAGTGGAGCTTCTACCACAACAGATTAAGTGCAGATGTTTTTAGTGGTAAGTAAAGCCACATAATTAGCATCATACTTTTAAAAATCTGGTTAAGAGTTGTATGCCTGCTGATCTGACCTTCTGGAATTGCTTAAGAAATTGTAACTGGTATTCACAGCCATGAAGGATTCCACCTTCTTGGCCGCAGATGAGACTTCACGGAGACTGATGATATAAGGGATACACACAGGACAAGAACATAAGGGAAAGAAAATGCACAAATACAAACAGAAGAGAGGGCAAGAGTAACAACACAGAGCAGAGTAGAGACGAAACTGTAAAGGTGATAAGAGATGTATTGGTGTATTCCCTTGGAAAGGAAGATAAAAAATTCATTTTAAGAGATTTTATTTTTTAAAATATAGCTTAAACCTGGCAAACTCCTATGTAGGGAGGATGCCCGTATCATCTAAACATTGGAAGAAATGGGAGGCAGTACTAAAACTGGCCAGGACAGCAGGCTTTACTGAACCACCACCCTGGCCAGCCAGGATGAATGATCATCCTACACACAGCAAGAAGAAATGCTTGAGCACAGAAATGAGAAGAGTTACTCATAAGTGAGTAAATATAGGAGGAACAAATTAGGTCTTAATTCATTTTTATAAGGTTTCTTCTATGGTGGACTGTTTATTTGTCCATCTGCAGTAGAGTAAATCTTCACTAAAGTCCTGGGATTTGGCCTGCAGAGATAGAGAAAGACTTTTGGGGAAATTCTGGGTTATTACATGCTCGTGCATCATGCTCTCTACTTGGACACCATTACGGACTGAACTGTCCCACAGCTGCACCTCCACCACTCACAGCCTGAAACCCTGACCCCAGTGTGGCTATATCCAGAGACAGAGCCTGTACGGGGATAAGTCAGGTTACACATAGTCCCAATGGTAGGTCCCTCATCTTCTTGCCCTCACAGAAAAAGGGAGAAACACCAGAGATCTCTCTCTCCACACAGAGGAAATGTTATTTGAGGACAGCACAAGACAACGTCACTGGTGCTGGCAAGCAAAGAAGAGAGGCCTCAGAGGAAAACAACCCTGCAGGGGGCTGCAATCATAGGCTCTCAGCCTCCATGACTGTGAGAAAACAAATGTCAGGTGCTTAAGCCACCCATGTTGTTATGGCAAGCAGAGCAAACTAAGACAATCATGAAGCATTAATTTTATCAAAAGGAAAAATCATTTAATTCAACAGTGTTTTCCACATCTTCTCTTTCTGTCCTTGCTACACCTCAGAAATTTATAATCACATCATGCACCAGGTGTGAAAGTAGAGTCAAACACAGGGCTGGTGGTGACTTGGAGGGCAAGGTGTTTGGAAGGCTGAAACAAAAGGATCCCTTCATCCTAGGAGTTTGACGCCAGCCTGAGCAGCAGAACCTGTCTCAAAAAAAGGGGGATGGCAGCTGCAGATATAGCTCAGTTTTACAGCACTTGCCTAATGTGCAGAAGGCCCATCCTAAGTATCGGGCAGAAGAAATCTGTTCTTGGGTCATCACAGGATAGTGTGGTGCTGTGCATCCAGAGGTGCCCCCAAAGCCTTCTGTGCTCATAGATGGGGTTTTTCACAGCTGGCTGGATGTCGGGCGTGTGATATTGGGATTAAGAGTGTGTGGTATTAAATTAGTCCCGAGATGAAAATTAGCATCGTTCCAGGTGTGGCTGAATGAATTTACGGATGACAGACCTCCACCTCCCCCATGTGGATGGCACCCCAAAAGGCTTACATCCTGGATATGATAAAAGGGAAAGGCCGGCCTGCTGCTTGCTGCCTTCTGCCTGCCACACCGTGAACTGTTTCTACTCTCTGATGCCCCTCTGCTGTACCAGCCTGCCTTGGAGCCAGCTGACTACGGGCTGAAACTGTAGGGAAGAGAGAAAGGGAATATTACTAGAACTTCTGCAGGAAGGCCTAGGCTCCTGTAAGCCATGGCAGCACAAGATGAATTAACTTATTAGACAGAAAAGATAGAACAATGAGACTTAGAGAAGAAGCTGAGCTGTGGACCTGATCAGTGCTGCTCTGGGCAGCAACGATGAAAGCCCCCAACTTACCACACCTTTATTCAGAACATGGAGAGTACTAAATGTAACAGGTGACTCAGAGGGCAATGGGGTTGAAAATCCCAGAACAATGAGCAACTACACATAAGAAGATTTTGTTCCTCCCCAGGACATCTTCAGCTGATGTAATCCTGCCCTGGAGCATCACAGCATTGCTGGACCACTGAGGTTTTAGTTGTGACAGGAGGCAAAAATGGAGTTATGTCTCGACATGCCATAGCTGGCCTGTAGGAGAACCAGGCCTAATCCTAATTTTAATTGTGAAATGATTTTTCCCCAAAATTATGTAGAATTGCTTCTGACATGAAGCCTCTACAAACTGTGAGCTAAATAAACCTTCAGGGTATCAGGAATTTTATCTTGGCAACAAGAAAAGTATAACAAAGACAGACAGCAAAACTCTAAAGAGACAGGAAGAAATGTGGACTACGGAGGAGTTACAACACAAAAACTAGGATCTTGCTTATCTATTACTACTCAGCTTTTCTTAGAGCCGGCCCTACTTGCCAAAGTACTCCACAGAGAACAAGCACTGGCTCCTGACTTGGGTAAAATCCTACAGAGTCTATGTTAGTCAGCTTACTGCCCGTGTGAACAAATACCCAAAGAAAACAACTCAGAGGAGGAAAGGTTTGTTGTGACTCACGGTTTCAGAGGTTTTGGTCCGTGGTCAGCTGGCTCCAAGCAGAAACATCAAGGCAAAAGGGCCTGGTGGAGGAGAGCTGCTCACTCCACATCAGCCAGGAGGCAGGAAAAGGAAAGAGCCCAAGCAGGCTGTGGACATGGCCCCATGACCCACTTTCTCCAGCCAGGCCCTGTCTCTTCACAGCCTATTGAGCTGTGAATTCACTGGTGAGTTAACCCACTGAACTCCCTCCCTGCGCAATCACCTCTAGGCGCCTCGTAATCCGGCCAAGCTGGCCATCAAGATTAACCATCACAGTCTTCATTGCAGTCAGCACTGCTTCCAAGGAAGAGGCAAGTAACCCGAACCGTGAACCGCCGACCCTTGGCCTGCCTGCTCTGGCCTCCTTGGCACAGTCCTCCAACTGAGACAGCCCATTCTTTGCATGCAGCAGGCAGTCTCACCAATGGCACAGAGCCATGCGGGCCTAGAGCTCTACATCGCTTCAGGACATCCTGCTTCCGAGGAAGCATTTTAATATTGATCATCGTTATTGTATTTTATCATGTGCCAGCAAGAATGACCAACTTTAAACTCCATTTGCACTCTGTAGTACTTAGTAAAGATTTTTAGTTACAGTAATACCCTTCGGACTTTTGGCACACTCACCCCTTTATTGAAAGGCCAATCTAGATCTCTTATTTTATGACCATAAGTGGTTTCATTTCCCTGAAGGAGAATGCCACTTGCTTTAAATGTAGAGTTGAACATGCAAGGTACTTAGGAAAATTTAATTTAATAGCTTTAGGTAAATGATCTGTAGAATGAGATATTTGTATCTCTAGCTGTCATTAAAGTCAACCTGTCATAAGTTCATCCAGTATTTCACTTTGTATCACAAGTTCCATTAAATTTTCATAAGAAACTCATAAGCAATTCCTTTCAAAGTATGCTAAACCATGAGCAAGGATGTCTTCTTGAATAGTTTTACTCAAAAGTAGATTCTCTAGCCATGTTCATCAAAAAAGTCAGAACCGTTTCTGAACCTAAAAGTAAGAAAAGAAATTGACCCTACCAGGAAAGGACTTAGGCCACCCATTTGCTTTTCAATCAATGATAACAGAGCCAATGGTCAGTACTCCAGGCAGGCCTGGTCTGGCCGCTCAAAATACACTCACCACGGGTATGAGCACAAAAACTACTCATTCAGTAGAATTTTATTTCCTTTCTTTGATATTACATGTTCCTCATTAGAGTTTCAGAAATTTCCTGTAGGACTAACATTCAATTTTGAAAATAAGTCCAGACTCACCCATTTATTTCTTCACACAAAGCCTGCATCTATTCCTATGCATCACAGTTATATAAGGTAGTGGAACTGCATGGAACAGACTATAGATTAAAATGGATCTGTGTATAATCCATGATACCAATATTTTTAAATATAAGGAAAATAATCCAATGAAGGTACATTGTCTTTCTATGCTTTCCATATAAACTTCCTTTAAACCCAAAACAAAATTTTGTGTATTTGTTGCCTTTAACAATGGTCTAGATGTTACAAGATATCAAATCTACTCACCCAATTAGGAAAGTTGGAAGCTCTGTGGTTCTAAGAAAGAAAGGAAGGAAAATGAAAATATTAGAAGTCTTATTTTAATTCTAACATTACATATTTAATGTGTAATCTTTGCCTCTACTCATCAGAAATACAGAAAGCAGGGCCAGGGATTTAGCTCAATGGTGCTGCGCCTGCCTAGCAAGCATAGGGTCCTGAGCTCAATCCCCAGTACCAAAAAAAGAAAAGAAAAGAGAAATACAGAGGTAGAACAGCAATTTAAATAACTTAGAGTAAGCCGATAGGACAGAATATTAGGATCACTTATAGAAGGAGTTTGAACTATATTTAATATGTACTCTGACATATACTTTGTATATGTCACAGGAAAAACATCATGATAATGATAAAAGCAAAATCAGAATATATAAACTATACACACAAAAAATATGGTGTATAGCAAAAAATTTATTTTAAATACTATACATACATACATATAAGAAAGGTAAAAGATAAATACGCCAAAATGTTAACTGATAATATCTAAATTATAACATTACAAATGACATGTATTTGCTATCTATATTTTCTGAAATGTCCTACTTTTATAACAAAAAAAATTAAATTATTAGTTATTTTAAGTTTAAGGGAGAAAATGAACAATTTAAATGATTAATATATTTTCTCTACAGACAAAAGAAAAATTACTTTTAATTACTTCTTTCTTTGAAAAAGAATAAAAAATTTAAATATTTAATAACTAATCTTTCACATGAGTTATTCTTAATAGTTGAATAATAACTTTGTTCTTTCAGGTCTTCAATAAAAGGGATGAAGTTGATACCAAGAGGGCAAAACCTAAGCAAATAAGGCATTAAATTCCCACTGCAGTATTTTCTAACATTTCTAAAATTTCGCAGGACCCAATCAAATGGCTTTACCCCATCTCTAAATGCAAAGCCTACAATACTTACGAAGTGCATGTGCTGCGTGCAGATGTGTGTTATTACCTATACTGCATTTATTCATGAATCCTTTATTAAATATTTAAAATTATTTTCAAAAGCTTGTGTTATGATTTAGACCTAAAATGTCCCCTAAAAGCCTCTTCAGAGAGAGGGCTTTTGAAACATGACTGCATCATGAGGTGCTACACTAACCACTGACCCACTGAGGAGTGTGTGTGCTATTAGGAGGTGGGGCCTGAGTGGATGGGTGGGTGGGTCACTGGAAGCATGACCTGGAATGATTCCTGTCCTTGGTTCTGTACTTTTCTCTCTGCATCCTGGCTGCCATGCATTAAGCAGCTTCCTTGCTGCGTGCCCTTCTGCATGATGTATCTCCCTCGAGGGCAGCCAACCGTGCACTAAAACCTCTAAAACCATGAACCAAAATAAACTTGTTATGCTGTAAGTCAGAATGCTTCCCAAGTTTCACGTGTTTAGAGGTAGGGCTTTGAGGGACATGACCAGGTTGAGGGGTGTTTCGCTCATGCGTGGGCTTAGTCAATGATGAGTCCATGGATAAACGTGTTGTTAGGAGGTGGGTCCTGGTTAGAAGAGGTGTGTAACTGGGGCCTGTCTTTGGAGCATACCCCTCCCCACTGATGCCATGAGACAAGCAGCTTTAAGTAGCTCTCTTCTGCCAAGCGCTTCTGTAATGCCATCACTGCCTTGGAGCCAGCTGACCATGAACTGAACACCCAAAACTGTGAGCCAGGATAAATCTCTCCTCCTTTAATTGTGAGTGTCAGGTATTTTGTCCCAGTGACAGGAATACTAACACTGAAAATTGGCACTAAAGAAGTGGGTTCGTTGGTTTGATTATACCTGACCATGTGGTTTAGAAGCTTTTGGAACTTGTTTATGGGAGGAATTTGGAAAGATTTGAAAATGCATATTAGAGAAGCCTTAGAATATTGATTATAAGTAGAGCCTGATGCATGATTCTGGTCAGAATTCAGAAGACCAGCATGTTGACAGTAGTGCAGACACAAGGACCAGGCTCGGGAAGTTTCAGCTAGAAACTTCACTGGCAAATGTGTGTATTACACTGTGGCAGAAAAATCTGTCTTCAGTTTGCCCACACCCTGAGACTGCAGGAGACTGACAACAGCAATGGACCAATAGATCTAGTGGGTGAAACCTCAAGACAGTCCAACATTCAGGCTGTGGCATGGACGGTGCTAGCTGCATTTAGTGAGATGTACAGTGAGAATTAGACACAAAAGGCAGAGCAGAAAATTTTGAAAATATTAAATTTGGACTCAGAAGGAACCATATGTAAACTGGTATCAAAGGACTTGTGGCTTCTGAAGAGCTCAGTACCATTAAAAAGGGAACAACTATTTGGCACAGGATCAAAAAAAAGATGCCTTGAGGACATCTCTGGAATCCAAAAATCCCATCCATCACAGGCTAAAGAGTGTAAAAGGGTAAAGGCACTCAAAAGAGTTTGTTTTGAGAAGACAGTCCAGTGTTTCCTGCTAATTCAGGGATACCTAGTTAATGGACTGCTACAGTAAGGTTTCACGGTAACTGGGTTACTGTGAAAGCTAGTGGCAGACCTTGGTATCATGTGAATGCTACTGGTTTTTCAGGCATGCAAAGTGAAGTTATGGGGTCACAGAAGCTTCCATCCAAATTTTTAAAGAAGGCCTTGGAGGCCAGGCAATGTGCCCCTGAGACAGTACAGGTATCCCTCATTTAATAACCCCTTTTAATGACTGTTCTGACTTATGACTGAGGTGCACTGTTCAGACTTAAATCCTCTACTCAAACTTACAACCCATGCTTCTTTTTTGTACAGTTTTATACATCTCACTTATAGAACCTCAATGTCTTTTTACAGTACATCTTATTATATACTACAGTAATTTTTGCTGATTGAACTATGCAGTACAGTACTGTAGTGTTATGTTCTGTAATACAGTACAGTCCTGAATGCAAGAGATATATCAATAAAAGCAAAGTCATTAAGTTGGAGTTCCTTTTGGCCATTCCTTTGTTCTGAATATTGTACTCTACATACTACATAAAATTCTTCATTTAGCAACCACTTCATGTAATAATTTAGTCAAAGGAATGGAGCTCAGTCATTAAAGGAGAAACGTCTGTAACTCACGAGGCCATGAGAGTGAAGTCCAACGTTCAGTGGAGACCCTGGCAAGCTGGAGATGCCAAGAACAGAGAGCATCTGCCAAGGGAAGCTGCAGACGGTGTGCAGAATCAGCCCAGCAGAGAGGTCATGTGGCCTGCAACTGGAAAAGCCACAGAGGCCAAGACTGCACAAGCTCGTCAGAGGTCCCAGGTGCTGGACATGGAAGTACAGGATTTCATGTTTGTCTTGATAGTTTTTGGACTTGCTTTGGTTCAATTTCCTTCTGTTGCCCTATTTCTCCCTTTGGAATGGGAGTGTTTACCTTGTGTCATTGAATGTTAGATATATTTGACTTCCCTTTTGATTTTTATAGTGCCTCACAGCTAAGAGCTTGCCTTGTGTCTCAGAGGAGATTGTGGACTTTGACTTTTCAGCACTGCTGAAACTTGTAGATTTGGGTGACTCCAGATACTTTTATATAATGAGATGGATGTGAGCCTTTTGGGATCCAGGTACAAAATGTTATGGTTTCTATCTAGAATGTTTCCCCTAAGTCTTTTGTGTTTAAAGGTGTGTATTTTAGGATATGAATGGAACATGCTGGCACTATACTAAACAGGGGATTGAGCCATTGATACATTTAGGGCTAAAGATGCTGTTAGGAGATGTAGCCTAGATGGAAGAGGTGTGTAACTATGGGCTTACCTTTACAGGGTGTTACAGCTATGTCTGGATATCCCCAAAGCCTCACACTCTCATGGGTGGGGATTTTCAGAGGTGACTGGATTTAGAGTGTGTGACACTAGGATTGTTTCATGCTGCAATGCTAGGATCAAGGACACTAGGATTAAAGGTGTGAGTGCTACCCACCCTAAGTAGCTGGATAAGATATAAGGAATAGAAAAGAGCTATGGTGGTACCTTGCTTGCTTTGCTACCTTCTACACACCATGAAAAGTGCCTCTTCTGCTATGCCTGTCTGCCATGCCACCCTGCCTTGGAGCCAACTGATTATGGACCAAAACATCTGCAAAATATGAGCTAAATAAATATTTCCACCTATAACTCTGTCAGGTATTTTGTCCCAGAAACAAGAAAAGTGATGAAGACAAGAGGTGTATCTCCCTCCCTGACTCATCACTATGTCTCTGCTTCCTGGCTACTGTGAGGTGAGGAGTTTTCCTCTGCCATACATACGTCTCCACTCTGCCAATTCTGCTTTGACACCAACTGGCCACAGACTGAATCCCCCAAAAACCAAGCTAAATTGAATCTCCCCTCCTTTAGCTTGTGGATGTCAGGAATTTTGTCCCAGTGACAGGAAAATTCACTAGTATAAAACCTCTCCTCTGTTAATTTGAAGGTATGGGGTATTTTGTCCTGGCAACAGGAAAGTGAACATGCCTTTATATATTATTCACAAAAGAATATTTAAAATCAAGAAAAATAATTTTGTGTAATACAGTAGCTTGTTTAAAAATTTAAAATATTATTTGAGTTGTACCATGAAAAGAAGATATACTGATGCAGTAACTGTCAGCTAGGGATCTTGATTTATAAGAGTAAGAAGGTGAACAAGAAAGAAAACATGGATGCAAAAAAATTAAAGGAAAATATACCCTTTGTAAATACTGGAACTTTGCAAATTTTTGTCTTCATATTTTCTCAGACATATATTTCACGTGGTGCATTGAAAGCAAAGATTCTTTTTTTTTTTTCTGGTACTGGATGAAAACAGAGATATAAATTACAAAAGTTGTTCCTTCCATACAGAGATAAAAACATACATTAGTTACTTATGATAATGGGCTTCACCACGTGGCTTCTTTGGCCAGGATATTAGCAAATGTGATTATATAGCATATACAGTCAAACTTTAGTTTTTAATTCACTCCAGAAACATGCTTGTAAGCCAAAGCACTTGTATATCAAAGCCAATTTCCTCATAAGAAACAATGGAAACTCAGATGACTCCTTTCACAACCCAAAAATATTCATATAAAATTATTACAATACTGTAAAATATAATGCAGAATAATAAAAAATACAAAATATAATGAAAAATAAACAAATTAACCTGTGCTTACCTTTGAAAACCTTCATAGCTGGTATGAAGATGAGAGAGAAGAAGGTTACTATATAGAAGACTTTCTCTATCATTAGCAGAATCACTGCTATTTATTGGCTCAGTGGAATCCTTTGTTTTCATGCAACTTTAACAAGGAGCTTTTCCAATAACACTTTTGCTTCCTTTTCATAATTTCATGGAAATGTGACATTGCACTGTCAGTAAACAGATTCATCGCCCACATCGCAACAGCTGTATACAGATGCTGCTTTTCTACAAAATTTTGCACTGTTTTCCACATTTTACACATATCCCCAATCTCATTTGAAGTAAGGGATTCTTCCACCTTTTTCTCTTCCTTCTCCTCTGCAGACGAGACCTCTTCCATAACCTCTTGCTGTTGGGCAAAGATCACCCACAATCCTGCAGTAAGAGAAAGAAAACTTTTAGCTCAATTGTGATTGTATGATACTCAGCTTTGCATATTTTTCATATTACAGGTCATCATTTGTTTATCATGCTAAAATTTATTAGAAATATTTTCTCAAGATTTTGCTATATATAAATGTGTGTATGTATGTGTATGTGTGTATGTATGTGTATGTGTGTATTTAATGGTGAGAGAGCATATAAAAAAACTCATGGAAAATAACCTATGTCGTTATGCCAAGAAAAGCAAAGGACATGCTAGCATTACACTGATGTTCAGTGCCAACACCTAAGAACTAGAAATATTTTAATAGTAGCATTTTTATATTATATTGAGTGTGGTGCCAAAACAAACCATTGTGTATGGTTCTGTCTTTGGGAAGAGGGGAGAGAAAAAGAAAGATGAAGGAATTACAAAGATGTAGGAATCACAAAGATCCTGTATATTCCATATTACAGAAAAAACAAGGATTTTGAGTTGCAGAGAAGACCTTGGTGAAGTGCTGTGGTCTTGGGTGTTATTTTTAACTTGCGTTGTTCCTTGTTTTCTCCCCATAGAGGCTTAATTTTTCAATTTGAAGCACTACTGGTATAAAACATGCCTCATTAGCTAGTGGGTGGTAGCTGGTATTCATTAATTCAGTTCTCACTTCATTTGCTTTGCACACAGTCATAATTAGCTTCCAAATAACTTAGGTACCTTCAATAGATTTATGACTACAATTTTATTCTACATTTGCTTTCTTTTACTCCTTTTTCCCCCTTTTCTGGTACTCTATGGACATTAAAATTTAAAAGGCCAAAGCTACTTTGGAGTGATTTGATGTAGAAATCTTTGGCATCCAGTTGTCCTGTGTGAGAAAGGCACAGAGATTTCAGCACTTTAGTAATTCTCTTACCTAGATATCCCTGATAGAAAGGCAAACAATTAAAAATTTAAATCTGTTGAAAAATATTTTAAACAGAGAAGTTTTGAAACCTCATGCCATCTCAGCTTTTTGCATTTATTGCTCCAATCTGCACAGACGGTGTTATAGTTGAAATACTATTTTCATATGAGGATTACACTATAATGACAAACATCAAGGCCATGCGTTGATGTTGCTGTTGTGGTAGACCGAAAACTAAACAAAATAATCACAGCAGTTCACTGCTGCTCCTTCCACGTGAAGATGGAGCCTCTCTCTCTTCCTCCTGAGTCTGGACTTAGCCATGCGGCCTTTTGGCCACAGATCTTCAGCAAACAGGAGCTGAACCGTGAAGCTCGTCTTCACCCGCTGTGTCTGGAATGCCGCGAGGAGGTGTGGCTGGGATATGTGACCAGCCCTCCTTCACCCACACCCCTACCACACCTTCAGAATAAGGTGATCCGGAGCCAGTCGGACGCCAGGCAACCGGCCTGCCACCCTGCCAGCCAAGCAGCCCTGACGTGGGCTTCAAGGGATGCAGGGCCCTCACTGACCCCACCAAGGTCACACTGTGGGCCTCACAGAGCTCAGTGGTTCATGCCTGGAGTCCCTGCTACTCAGGAAGCTGAGCCTGTTGAGTTCAGGAGCTTAAAACCAGTCTGGGAAACACAGTGAAGTTTTGTGTCAAGGAAGGAAAAAGAAAAAGAGAAAACTGCTGGCCCACAGCATTTTGAGTAAATGAGCTAATGGTCTTGGTTCTAAAACACTAAGCTTTTAGGTCATCTGTAATATAGTGAAGCTTATTTATTTAACTAAAATTTCTTAAATGTTAAAGTAAATCTAAAGTTCCGTTTTTAACAATGACCATGATTTTAGAATCAATCAATGACAAAAATGGTTAAGACTGCCACAAAGAATGTAAAAATGCTTTGAGATGAAATTGAATAAACCCACCACAAGGCAACTTAATATATTCATTAGATAAACACTAACTATTCAACGTGGTAAATATAGCAAGACATGGGTAGTAGATAAGCAACCAAATGTGGCTGCTTCCTGAGAAGTTCACACTGTAGAAGAGGACCATCTAGAAATCTTATCTGTGGGAGGAGAGGGCAAGAAAGGAGATGAGAAATGATGAAGTTTCTCTCTCTCTCTCTCTCTCTCTCTCTCTCTCTCTCTCGTCTTTCTCTCTGTCTCTTTGTCTCTCTGCCTCTCTCTATGTCTCTCTCTCTCTCTATCTGTGTCAATGGATGTAATCAGTATATATCACAAGCATATACTAACTAAAATATTTTTAAAGAAATCTCACTTAGCTCCAACAGTGAGAAGCAAAAGTCAGCAGTATATTTGATACTGTGTTCTCCACACAACAAAGCATCCGCTCTTTATCAATAGGTGTAGACGAGTCACTTCAGCACTCACTAGAGCTTATTTAACCCAACTTTCTTTACTACTCGTACAAATTAAATCATCTGGTTCCCTAGGCAGGGACACTGACACCAAAAGAGAACTGCTGTAAACAAAGGAATTGACAGAAAACGTACAAAAAGCACGCTCGATAAATCAAGAAGCAAGGTATCCGAGACCACTGAAAAGCCTTCTCCTTCTCAGTACTTCCAGTGCACTATGAACCCAGTGCATTTACGCACTGTGATGACTCAGCTCACCAAACTCCTGGTAAACTGTGTGTGAATATATGCTGCTTAAAAGGTCAAATGTCCCCCAAAACAGAAACAAAAATTAACAACCCAGTTCAAAATAGACAATGGACTTGAACAGACATCTCTCCAAAGGAGATAGAAAAGTGGGCAAGAAGCTCTTCAAAACACGCTCACTATTACTAAGGAAATGCCAGTCAAACCACAACAAGATGCCACTTCACACCCATTAGAATGGTTATCGTATCGGGCACTTTCCCTATTTGCTAGGACAAGATACCTGACACCCACAACTTACAGGAGAGGCTTATTCTGGCTTAGAGGTTCAGTGGGTTCAGTCCCTGGTTGACTGGCTCCAAGACAGAAACACCATGGCAGGAGGGCCTGGCAGAGAAAAGCTACTCAACCCACGGCAGCAAGGAAGCAGTGAAAGAAAGGGGACTGAGCACAACAATGATGTATATCCTTCCACATCACACCCCGGTGACCCAGCTCTTCCAAGCAGCCTCACCTCCTGACAGCACACTTAGCTAGGGACACATCCGTGTATTGATCCTCAGATGAGCACCCCATGATCCAATACCTTCCAAAAGCTCCACCTCTGAATATGTGGGTCTTTCGGGGGACATTTAAGCTGTGAGAACTATCATCCAAAAAGCAGAAAATGATAAGTATTGGGAAGAATATTGAGAAATTAAAACCGTTTCTTACTGATGGGAATTTTGGATGGCATATCCATTGTGAAGACAGAAGCGTAGCTCCTCAAAAAACTAAAAACAATTACTCTACAACCTACAATCCCACCTCTGGACACACAGATAAAAAAATGACAGCAGGGACTTAGATATTTGTACACAGAAGTAATGTGGCAGCATCATTCACAGCAGCCCCAAGTGGAAAGAACCTAAAATTCCACCAACAGATGAATAAACCAAACATGGCCTGAGGCTGGGGTTGTAGCTCCGTGGTACAGAAGTTTTCTAGCATACACAAGGGCCTGAGTTACATATCCAGGACCACAAAAAAAGGAACCTATACATACTCTGGATTATTTAGCCTTTAATAAAATTCTGACAATATGACATGAACAAACTTTAAGGACATTGTCCTATGTAAATAAGCCAGGCACACAAAAATAAATACAATATGATTCCATTTCTATGAGGAACTTTGAACAATCAAACTCATGGAGAAAAAGCATGCAATGGGGGTTACCAGGAGTCAGAGGTGGGGAAGTGGGGAACTTTACTGTCTTTTGGATGCAGAGTTTTAATGTAGGATGATGACGAAAGGGCTCAGGAAGATGTAGAGTAGTGATGGTTGTGCAACACTGTGAATGCCCTTAATGGCACTGAATTGTACACTCAAAAGTGCCAAACAAAAGTTTTATATTCATGTATATTTAACCACAATGCAAAAGGGTCAGGGTCAGTTAGTTGTTGTATATAAGGAGAACCAGACACCATGATTTGGTGAGTTTTTATATAACTTGAATTGGAAACACTAAGGGCAAAGAAAATGCTGAACGACCCTTGAAGGACAAGTGGGAAGAAAAAGCTGCCAGATGCTGTGCAACCATCTTAGCATGGCAGTGCACACAAGGGCAGAGGCCAAAACCACACACACACACACACACACACACACACACACACACACACACCTCATAAACAGGAATCAAAGAAATTAGGACGCTTATGACCAAAAGTTTTAGGGCTGGGGATTTACTTCAGTGGTTCCGGCACCTGCTTCACAAGTACAAGGACCCAAGTTAGACCCCAGGTACCAAAAAAAGTTTTATCAACCTAGCAAAGATTTCTTCTCTGGTGAGAGGAATGATACGATTCTTAAAGAAACACTCAGCAACATACGCCCTGAGTATAAGGGGACAGTTTCTGGTCACAGATACCCGCTGGGTGCTGCTCAGGGATCCCGGCACAAGACGAGGACCTGAACTAGAATCATGGTGCTGGGGAAGAGTGAGAGATGAAGAATACAAAAGACATCTCAAAGGAAAACGTGGATTTGAAGACCTACTGGAGTTAGAAATAAAATATTTATCCCACTTTACTGATAGGCCATCTTAGTATAGAATCGAGACAGAGA